ATATATATATATATATATATATATATATATATATATATATATATATATATACACTATATATATATTTATTTATTTATTTATTTATTTATTTATTTCTATTTATATATATTTATTATAAGCACACAGCACCAAATGGCACATAAGTATATACATATCAATTACGATTTTTATTGTAGAACTTGTAGCAATAGATTGCAAATTACTTTGAGCACAGTGTACAATTTTTTGTTATCTCAATAAAACGATTATTACAGTTAGATGGTATATTATATTTATAGATAACCAGCTTTACAACAAAATCGTAATCATTCTCTTCTTAATTCATACTCTATGCATACTGTCACAAAGATTTTCATTTTGCATTTATCATAATTTTTCACTAATCCTAATGCATTAACATTTACAATAGATTTTAAATTTACTCAAACAACAGGAAAGACTCCGCTCTAAAATAATCGAAAGACTGATGCGCGAAGGATCGAGCGCTGATGAGCCATTGAACATACCACTTTCCGATTACTCCAGGTAGGTTTCGTTACCTTAATCTAAACTTTGTATCAAAGAAAAAAAAAAAAAAAACAAGAGTGTCCCTGGCGATACCTTGAACACTGCAAAGAACAGATTCTAAGCTTCTCTTATATGCAAACAAATATACACCTACACACGCATGCATCCAAACGCACGCTTAAGTAAGCGCCCTGCTAACTACGTGATTGGCAGCTCCTGCGCTTGGGCTGCAGAGGGTAATATTATAGGAATTTATTTCTTGAATAATTTCTCTTGTAGTGGGACGATCTTCATGAAACTTTATGAACGTGATCATAATGTTCAAATGTGAAAGCTGTTCAACAACTTTTCGAAGCACAGGTCACTAGTATTTAAGATATGTTTTTTACAAATCGGGGGCGTGGTATCCGAAATCTGTAATTTACAAAATACTCCTATATATAGATATAATACTGTTCAAATTGGGCTGAAAAACGAAATAAATTGATCGATTATTCTAGATATAAAATGGGTTATCGAAAATATATGATAAACTCGTACTGCGTGTTTTATATACGAGTACACATGTATCTTCTGAATTTAGCCCTAATAGCGACAGACGGATGGAAAGGCTATAACGACTCAGCTCGTCGCCCAGATCAGGAATATATATATATTTTATGATCTCCTTCTGCCTGCTACATACATTACAAACAAAACCATTATTTCCTAATTTCCCAATTTCAATGGGTTCAGGTTACATTACATTAAAAGACCGGATTTACTTGACCAACTGTTATTTGTACTAATGCATGTAAAAACACTTAATAGTTTTCCCACACATCTGCATAATGCTGACTTTATATGAACGAAAACCATTTAACCTCTATATAAACTAAATACATTTACCGTTCGCTATTTAAAAGGTATGATTAATCTGTGAGCCAGTACGAAAATAATATATATTATATAATAATTTGTTTATAATATATGACTATGCCAGCATTATTCGTTTCGTAAACAATTATGTATTTAGAGGTAGATTGTATTAGATCTGTATTAAGCCAAGTAATTTCATCGCATCTTAAGGAATGTTTATAATTTTAAAATAAATAATTTATATAGATATTCATTAAGTTGCGGTGAAATTATTTGACTTGATAAAGATCGACAGACAAACAACGTGCTTGCAAATATCTATCTCTAAACTGTGGTTACATACATGATGTAAATCATTTCAAGATGTAGCCATAAAGGCAGTAAACTTATAACCATTAAACTTAAACGTAATTTTGAAGACAAGATCAAAACTTTGATCACTTGTGCAATACAGAACAATGCGAAACAATACACCAGCCCTAACCAATTAGAAGCTGCTTACGATCTTTTCAATATATACTCAAAGACATGCCCCTAAGAATTTCAAACCTAATCGAAAAACACAATTTCCCTTTATTATTTTCTGTTTTAGCGATGATGGTAATTGCAGCTCTAGCTCTGACAATGAAGGCAAACATTCGATTACAGCGTCTGATCTTGAAGGTCCTTGCTGTGCGCCTATTCGAGCACCACCCAGTTCTCCTGAGATTCTGCATGAGATTCGTAAGGTAGGTTTGGATGTCAAATTGTTTCCTTTCAAAGCACATTGAGCACATCACGATTATATTCACTCGCCACCAATAGTTTCGAGTACGTCGAATGCACAAGGTGATGCATGTTTTGGATCAAATATACTTTTCACCGGTTCTACAACGAAAATTCAAGGCTCTTGCGCGTCTTAAGCGCCGCCGCCATAAATTGGGTTGTAAGGCGGTTGGCTCAAAGCGTGCCACTGGTGGTGGAGGTGGACCAAGTTCACCAAATGGCAATGCCAGTGAGCGAAACAGCGAAAGCCCCCAGATAACAATCAAAGCCACACGCCAGTCGCCTGAATCCGAAAGCTCCGAAAGCAATGGGTCTCAGTCGTCAGACTTATTGACCGATGCAAGTAACGAAATAAATCAGACTGGAAAACAGTTAAATCGTAAGCGTAACAAAAGAAAGAAGCACATGCCTACAGAAAAATGCAAAATTAAAGCAACTAACAGAAAAATGCGTATTGACCGGAACTTGCGACTTTGGCTGGCTAACCGACGCATTTTTATTTTTCGTCGCAAAAAGGTACATTTAACTATAAACGCAAAAAATATTTAGATAAACGATAAATCAACAAAGAAATAAATAACTCATTTAAACACCATACTGCTATATTCAAATATTAAAATACCCTTTTACATTTTTTGTATAATTTAGAACCGCCGACAACGTATCCGAAATAAGCCGCTTAAGAAACGGGGCGAAGTGATTAGAACGCCACTCGACTTGCCTACCACCGATCCTGGCTCCGATTTACATTTTTCCACAGATGATGAAGACCTTTTTCCAGCTGGTAACGCCACATTTGGAGCAGTGGCACCACTTCGTCACACTCTACTGCAGAGCGAGTTGCAGCGGCGATATATTGAAGAAATTGGCGACTTGGTAGTGCAAAAGCCCAAGCCGGCTAATATGCCACCAGAATTAATCGTGACAGCACCCTCAAAAAACTGCGGCCCAGGTGGAGTTAAAAAATTGGAAGTATACAAACTTATACCTAGCACAGCACCCGAGCAACAAGCTCAGATGCAAGCCCAGACAAACGGTACTGGTGCTCGACGCACGTATTCCTGGCACAATCTCAACCAAGATAACGGCCGTGCTAAGCATAGTTTCTTCATGAACGAATCAAAGCCAGCCATAAAGGTTCAAAAAACTCCACCGAGGCGGTAAGTTTTGAGCCGGTTAGTACATATAATTTTCTAGTCTTATCTTTACGTCCGCAGTGTACCAAACAATTTCATCCCACTAAATCAGCAAAGACATGTCCATTCAAGTCATGCTGAAGACCTAAATGTGAAACTATCCATTAAGAAAAAAATTTGGACGGGAGCTCACGGCGATTCAGATGCTCGACCACTGGGTTGGTACAAAGACCAATCCCAGGCACATGCACACATGGCTAGCGTGATGGCAACAGCTGCTCTCCGAAGCGCTGAAGGATCACAAGCTCGAAACATGTATAACGCCGCTAGTCACAAGGAACCATTGATATCGGCAGTAGAGTCAACAATAGGTTCAGCAACCTTGCCACCTGCTTATGTAGGTGCACCACGTAGATCCCGCAAATTGGAGCAAGTGGATTTATTTAAGTAAGTTTGAGAAATCCAAAATCTTAGGAGATTTGTAAACATACCATTTGTAGCGCCTGTTCAGAAAAGCTGTTATTGTGGCAGCAAGACCATAAAAAAGCACAGACGTCAAGTACACGCCTTATGGGCGGAACGACTACTAAGCTAGAAAATCCGCAGATCTTTTTACGCGGTCGCAAGCCAAAAAAGGTCATCAGAACAGCCGGCGGAAATGATGCCCATTCCAACATGGCCGGAGTAACTGGAAAGGGGAAACGAAAGACAAGTATAATTAAACTTGCTGAGACGACGCAGTTTGTAACCCGTTTTTCACGAATGCATGCAAGTACTGGAGGTTCTGCCACTGGTGATTTACAGCAACATCAAATGACTCAAATGCAACGGCTAATTTTAAAAACTCAATCAGGCAGCGGGTCAGAACGCACACAAAACGCCCCTGTCAGTGGCATTCAAAACCCTGGTGGACGCATTGCTAGCAAGTTTAAGACTAGTGGCATAGTCGTAACAGCGGTCCAACAATCGGTGGGCAGTTATGCAGGGGGTGTTAATCTTTCAACACGTATTCGCCATGCTGGTGGTCAGCCCATAAAGAAATGCAGCAACAGTGTCGCCTCTGATAGTCAAAACATGTTTCAATGCCGCACCGAAGATAAATCAGTGGCAGGAATTTCCCTAGACACGGTCAACCTGGTACGCAAGGTTAAGACAAAGTTGAAAAAAAGGAAGTCCCGCACGCTTGCGAATGATGCCGCTACATCAGCTAAATAAAATCTATCAGTAATTAAGCCGAAACACTAAGATCCCCGGACATCCCTCGACGCCCTGATCGATAGTTTCCTTTCTCGAACTCTTTGTACTTGTATGTGAATTTATTATTAAGCCAAATTTTAGTTGAATTAGTTATAAAAAAAAAAGCGCCAAAATGGCATTAAGGATTATAAGCAATTAGCAAAATGTGAGCACACTGATGTAGCAAAATTGATGGGGTACTATACTACCCCAAAGTTTGCGTATAACGTACATATATTTGAATATTCACTAGGACCACATATGTATGTATATAGTATTTATAATCTGGAAATAAACTTTAGGACGTCATTTCAATTAAAATTACCAATAAAAATTCATGTTATGAACTAACTGCATATGTATGTTGTTAGTAGCAACTCTAAAGCACTGCTTTAGCCATTAACAAGAATCGACACTAAATCTAGAAAGCTAACTTATATACACATGCCATATGAGGTTATATTCAATGAATGTAATCCAACAAACGAATACAGAATTAGTGTATGAGAAACAAGACATTGAGTATATTAACATACCTTAAGCGTCTTTGTTGAGTATTACACTGGATTTTTGTGCAATATTCCTCGAATAAAGCCTGCTTAAATATGATGTAAAAGTAAACAAAACGTTTTCTAAGTGTGACCTCTAAAGATGACAGTACCCTTAAGTTTTATAAACAAGGGTTATTCAATTGAAGCGATGTATATCGATATATGATATATGTACATTGCCAGACTAATTGCTTTCAGCACTAAGCATGTGTTCTATCACTAACCATATGGTTGTTTCTATGCTCTAAATACATACATACATGTATGTACATACATATGTGTATATGTAAGTACCTTCGGTAATAATATAAAGAAACAAATGTATCCAAATAGACTAACGATATGCATTTATCCTTTACAAACATTTATTTAAAACAAAAGTAATACAATAAATATAATTTGAATATTTACATACAGTCGGCAAAATAAGTTTAGGTACACAACGATTTTTCAACATAACTGTATAAAAAAGTGGTTAAATGAAACGAAAAAAAACAAAAAACAAAAGTGTTTATGCGATCTTTTAAATTATATATTTGGTCACATAAAAACCTTTTCATTAATTTATTTCAATAAAAAACAGTTGACTTTCTTTAAGATTGGACCTCTAGAAATTATATTATTCAACAAATAAATTCGTTTAATATTGCTCACACTGCAGCGCAGCCCAAGCGCAGTCGCTGCGCACTGCGCAGTTAGCAGAGCGCATTCTAATGCGTGCGTATGTATATTGCGTGACTAAAAAAGTGCAGAGTGATTAGAATATCAGACTGGAGGGTTCAGGGTATCTCCTAGTCGAGCAG